CACACACACACCCACACCCACACACACACACCCACACACACACACACACCCCCACCCAGACACACACCCCCCCCCCCCTGAATGGCTTTAAAGACTCAAAGAAAATTACAGAGAGGACATAAAGGATTTTACACATAAAAATCAATCTTGACACACATTTGATAATATTTTAAAATTGTTTTAAAGGAAAAGTAATCCATGGGGTAATTTTAGACATAAAACCAATTGCCAACTAATGGCTTCAGTCACTGCAGGGGTCTGCTTCTTTGTATCTGCACACACATGGGTTTTGCCAGCTGCCTAAGTAAGCCCCTGGGGGCATCAGGGGGCTTGTGGATCTGCACCTATTTACTGAAGCCCAGGCTGCTACATCTTTTTCATTTTCTTTTCCAAGCTAGCCATTTTAATGCTAGCTCACGTGTGCCTTCATGTACTGCAGCCACACCTCTAACTACCCTGTAGTTAGGGCTTGAACAAAAGCACATAAAATCTTAGAATTATAGAAAGGTAGGATTATAAGGGCCCATGTGATGTCATTTAGCCCAACAACTGTTGAAGACAGGATTGAACCTAGTAGGGCTGTGTGAAGCTTTGGTCCCTGATTCAATTTGGCTGTGATTCAGTGACCAAGTCTCCAAAGCTGAATCTAATCAGGAGACTTTTTAATCTCTCCAAATTGAATTGGAACCCTCCGGATTGATTTGGAGGGATTGGGAAAGATTCAGAGATTCAGACAGCTACAGCTTTAAATGTTTTTTTCTGTGTCCCTCTAGGTAGCAGGGGACTCATGAATGCTGCAATGCTGGGGCGCAGGGAGTGTCCCACAGGAGCATGAGGGGCTCCCCAGTGCACTCGGCAGCAGACCTGGAAACAGACCAGAAGCACGTCCAGGTCTGTAGGGGAGCACGTACGCCCCTCCCCCCCTGTGCCCTCCAGCTTGGTGACTGGTGCCTCCTGGGTCTGGGGAGGGACCCAGGGTCCCACCATGGCCAATCACCAAGCCAGCAGGGCATGGGGGGTGGGGGGCCAGTGTGTTCAGCAGCAGACCTGGAAGTGGACCGGATCAGCACTGAATCTTCAGATTCGGATTCAGCTGAATCAAATCAGGGACAGTGATCTGAAACAACGAATTGAATCACTGTCTCTGAGTGATTCGAAATCGAATCGAATACAGCCTGTTTTGCACACCTCTAGACAAGTTTTCTTGACTATTCTTGTAAGCTTTGGGAACAACCCATATATCCAACTACCAGGCACACAATGCCCAAAACATCAGGAAGACCCTTAATCTTGTCACAGGTAAGATGGGGGATGAGGACACTGTCAATGTCCTGCCACTGCAAGAACAGAGAATCTTTAGTAATAATTCATACATGTTTTTGGGACAAGCATGGCGACTGTTAGAGAGACCTTGAAGTTTCTGGTACCATGACCCAGAACCAGCTCTACATTTGTTACATACAGTGACATTTTTAAAAATGTAAGCACCGCTCTAGGTGATGTCACCCTGCCACCATCATAGCTGCTGTTTCCCAGCTTCCTTTCAGCAAGATCACTTCTTGTAAGGCAAGCCTGACTGTAAAATACTTAGAACTATAGAGCCAATCTGGTAGAGACAAGATAATGTCAGCAAGAATGACAGAAACAGCTTACAGGCAACATCAATTCTGCAAGCTTAATATGTAATAAATTCTAAGTTTATTTCCATAAGTGCTGCTCAGTAAGTTACCACTGAAGAAGCATCTGGTGAGTTCTTTCCAGACTGAGAGCTTCTAGCTTGATGTTTTGATTTTTCTTAACCTAAATCCTGTTTTCAGCTGAATGACTTCAACTTTGGAACACAGACTTCCTTTTGCCCAAGAAAACCAAAGTTTGCTGGCTTTGTCAGCCTTTTTTCTTAAGGGTTATTTATTTATTTATTTTTACTAGGGCTTGGTAGGGGAGGGGTGAATAGATTTCATGGGAGATAGGGCTCAGGTAGTTTGAAATGATATGTATTGTAGCTATTTGGTTGATTAAGGTTATTTCTAAAGGTACTTAAGCCTAGGTAGTCACATTTTAGAATGAGAAAATTGACACTGGCACACAGGGAATCTTTTTGCTTCTTCTTTCCTATGCAAAAGTGAAACAAAGTATCCTTGGGAGGGCAAAAAAAACATTTTCCACTGTAAATCCCCAATCCAGCAGGGCATAGGGAGCCTTGCAAATTGCTCACAGTGGGAGCCAAGATAGCTGCAAGGGTCTGCCAGGCTAGGAACTGACAGAATTGGGGTTTAGGAGGGGAACAGAGCATAGAACAGCAAAATGACTTTATCTGTTTTTCCTTGACATTTGTTTTACAACAGACACTGGATTTAATTTTAACACATTTGAGAAAACAGACCTTAGACAAAACAGTCATTACTACTTTAGCCTTGTTACTCATTTTAGATGGCTCCTGGAACTCTTAACTCCTGGATTGTCCAGACATTAACATCTGAAACTAGGCTTAAGCACGCTTTAGGTAGCTTAAAATTACAACACTCCAAGGCAGATTCCTCTCTGCTCTGCATTGGCCAGCTTGTGCCATTAACATGTGGCTACTCTGCACAGATGAGCCACCCAAGTTGCAGTCCTCCAGCATCCCAGGATGCAGTGTCCCCTCCCCCACCTTCCTGTTCAGTGTGGACAAACTTTCTACCCCCTGTACTCCATTGCCTGGTGGTTCTAAGCCAACTGCCCCACCTGCCCCTGGTGGTGTGACCTTCCCACCCTCAGGGGTGCAACCCTGTGTAAATAGCCAGCAGAGGACATGCCAGCTAGCCAGGTTGCAGGGCCAGAAGTGGGGTCTAGGGGAAGTTGGGGATGAACAAGGTAGGGGGCTGGATCACATTCCCATGAGCTGGGGCTTCTTTTTATTTTATCCTTCAGTGGCTTCCTTCATTTCACCACCCTTCCCCCACTCCCATTTCCTTTCTACCTCCCATTTTATTACCCATGCCCATCTCATTAACTCTCTGCCTCCTAGATTCATGTTCCCATCCCCCACAGCCCACCTCTCACCCCTACACTTAGAGCAGGGATAGAGGGTTGTCCTGGCTCATCAGTCCCATAGGGGCAACTCATAGCTGAAGCTCCTAGTCAGACCCCTGGTTACCATCCCTCTAGTAGCAAGTCACAGCTGTACAGGTGGGGGACAGTCAGATAAAGTTCTTAACCTTAAGGTGCGACTGCTCTAAATCTGAGCTAGCACTAACACTAATCAACATTGGAACTGCTCAAAGCGCAATATATACAAGGTCCTCAGATGCCATTGTGATGACGGTCAGAAAGACTAACAGACAATGGAGCTGTGGTAGCTGCTCCCTAGAGAACAGAAGCCATTATGAGCATGTGCAGAAGAGTGCACATGTGCATTTCCCTGGGGACAAATAGCAATGGCACATAGTTGTCCCCCTGGGAACGCCCCTGAAAGCATGCCCTGGCATGCAGCAGATTGCCCTGGGTGGGTAGGGGAGGCTGGGGCTTAACCTTGAACCTAATCAGCACCTGGGCTGGCCCCAGCAGCCTTACCTGGGGTCCTGGGGGCCTCCTAAGGCTGCAGTGGCAGAGACCTGGGTGCACAGAGCCTGGCCAGCAGCCAGAGCATGGGCGGTATACGCTGCAGGTACATGAGCTACCCCACTTTTTTAAAACTGTTTTTTTAGATACTGGGATTTCCTGTGCTGTAAATATGCAGCACAGATTACTTTTTCACTCTGGTCATTTATGTTTTGCGGCACCTCAGAAGCCTTTGAGGCACCACAAAGCGCACATGCGTGTGCTCGCCTGGATGCACCTTTGACACTTCTTTTAAAACTCTCCTAAAGGAAAATGATCTGCTTGAAATTTTCATACTGCAACTCATCTCAGAATTTTTCTGAGAATTTTGATAACAATCAGAACAAACTTAGGAAATCATGGTGACTTGCAAATGTATCTCTCTGGCATTTCAAAAAAATCTCCTGACTTTGGTTCATGCTCCTGAGTAGATTGGTCTAATAATCCATGTTTATTTTGTTTGTTTGGTTTGGCTGTAGAGGAATGCCCTGCAGTTTTAAGGTTGGTTTTTTTTTCACCTGCCAGAAGGGTAAGGTATAAATGGGAAGATCATGTGTGAAAAATGAGTAATAAAAACAAATTATAATGGGTGTTAAAGTTGGAAAGTCAAGTTCTCAAACTTAGGATATGCCTGAATTAAAATGGCCTGGGCAACTTTAATTTAGCCTCTTTGGGTGGATACATTATTATGTAGTCTTTAGTTACATGATCAAAATACTTAATTTTTCACAGAATGCTTGCATCATTCAGCATACAGATTGGATATTGCTCACTAAATAAGTAACCGTTTTTCAAAAAAATACTGTTCATTTAATAGGTGGCTCCAAATCTTTTTTACCACCCACTAGATAAACTATGGACACTTATGAAAATATTAATTGCTTTATGTGCTTTTTCTATTTCATTTCATTTCTATTTCATAGTGGTTATATAAGTGATAGAGTCAGTAAAGTGACTGTACCTAATCAGGCAAGGAATTTGGGTGAGGTCAGAAGAAAAAAATACAAAAATGCTTGTACCCTAATGTAGGGCAACAGAATGGAGGAACTGTAAGATGTGAAAACAAATATTATAAAGACAAGAAAAACATTCTGGAACAGCAACTGTGACTGGAACATATGACTGGGTATTGAAGAATACGCACATTTGAGAAAGGATAGAAGCCAAGGGAAAAAGTAATAGGATAGCTTTATACCAAGGCTGTCAAACTCACTTTGGGCCCCACGCTGGATCCAACCATGGGAACTCCTGCTAGGCTGGATTTGTCAAGCCAGCAGCTGTGGTGGGTCCAGGTTTGGGGCCAGTGGCATAGGCTCATGTTCAGGTGGCAACCTAGGTTGGAGATCAGGCAGCAGTGCAGGTGCAGGAGTGGGCAAGAATGTTGGTTGGAGATCAGGTGACAATGGCATGGTCAGGGATCAGGCTACAGAATGGGTCCATGGGCAGGCATCAGCGTAGGTTGGGGATTGGGCAACTGGTAGGAGGTGCACAGGGGTGCACATGCCCCCCCCGACAGGGCCAGTGTCCCCCGATGGCCAACACGGATGCTGTTAGTCGGGCTGGTGCCTCGCCTGACAAGGTTGGCGGCTTCTATGGGTACCCCCCAATTTCAGGAGGCACCAGTCACTCATGAGCAGCAGGCTGGGGAGCAGGCAGCAGAGGAGCAAGAAAAGGTTGTATCTCCACAGTCCTTTCTTTCCTCCTGCTGCTAATGGCCATGTTTGGGTGCAGGATCACCTTATTCTGTTGCAGGCCATACTCCACTGGCCATACCCACCACTTCTGGTAGCTTGCCAAACTACCAGTTGGAACAGTTTTATGGGCCAAACACAGGCTATGGGCCATTCGCAATGGTTTTGCTATTGGTATCCAAGACTCTGATGTACTCTAAACCAGGGGTGCTCAACCCCCAGCCTACAGGTTAGATCTGGCCCCTGGTGCCTTGTCATCCAACCTGTGGGTTTCCCCGTGGGTCTGTGGGGAAGCATGAAGGTGATGGCTCTGTGCACTAGATCTGGCACACAGGGTAGCACAAGGCCTGACCCTGGCATGTGATGCTGTGTGGGGGTGGTGTGAGGCCCCAGAGTTGGATCACTGCATGTGGAACTGGGTGGAGGCAGTATGGGGCGCTAGGGCACCAATCCCTGTGACAGCACCTGGCAGAGGTGGCAGAGACCCAGGAGCCCAATCCCAGCATGTGGGTCCAGGTAGAGGTGTTGCAGGCCTGGGTGGAGGCAACATAGAGCCCTGGAGCCTGATCCCCACATATGGGACAAGTGGAGGTGGCTCAGGCCCCCAATCCTGGCATGCGAAACCAGTGGAGGTGGTATGGGGTTTGGGGCACATGGGGCTGGGTGGGAGTGGTGTGAGCTTCTGGATACCCAATACCAGCAACCAGGACTGGGTGGAGGTGGCACAGCGTCCTAGGGCCCCAATTCTGGCACACAGAGCCAGGTGTGGCAGCACAGTCTAGATCCAAGCATTGAGGCCTGTCCAGCCTGTGAGCTGCCCCATGCCACTTATTTGAGCCCAAAAGTTGAGCACCACTGTGTTGATTGTGAATATAGCAACAGCTCGGCCAGGCCTATACATAAAATCTTTGTGACCAAATTAAAAAACAGTGTATCTTGCACAAAAATGCAAAGTGGCAGCTGGAACCATACAAAATAGAGCAACCCCAATTGGTTTTATTCTCTGTGCTAGATTATGTCAAATCAGGAAAATGGTCAACAGAGAACTGACACGCTCATCACATATGTGCATCTCAGAAGCCAGTAAAAGCAAGAAAGCTACATATGCGTTTCAATCAACCTGGCAGCTGAAGGAAACAAAAGGCTAAATATGCGTCTCAAGAGAAACTTGTGAAAGATACAGAAAAGATGCCCTGTATGTGACAAACACTTCTCCCAACAAATATCCTAATGTACAGAGCGTTAAAAACGTCTGAACAATTCAATGTATGGCTGGAGTTTGAAAAACAAACCATCACCTGTACAAGCTACTGCAAATGTGCCCATTTGATATACAAATACCCCAACACAGGTTTGCTGACACCTCTAAGTATCCTGTCTGACTGCTCAGGCCCATCACTTGTAAATTGACTTACAATTGCAGGGTCTGCAGAGATGTACAAGTTTTTATACCCAGACAATGCAAGAACAGGAGCCAGGCTATTAACAGTTATGAGATGATAACACCTTTTCCTCCCAGTTTGTTTGGATTCTAATCGGCCAACTATCAAGGAAAAATGCTTTGAAGTTATACAATTAAACAGTATAAGAACTAGAAGAATTTGCCAGCAAAGTGTGCACTCCAAGAGAACCATAAAGAGATCACTGCTACACTGCACCCAGATTAACAAGCAATGGATCCTGCTTGATGAAAGCTGCAAGACTGAACCAGCTTCTTTTGCTGGCATTGGTGAGAGAATACTATTGCTGCTAAATATGTACTAGGACTTTGTGGAGTAGCTCATTTTATTTTGGAAGGATTCTTTTTCTGTCAGTTGGTTTTATAAGCTTTCTTGTGGTATTGTTAGTAAAGCCTTTCTGCTATTGATCAGTCGGGTAGTGTGTCAATTCTTGGGGCACTAGGTTTAAAAACCCACTTCCTAAGTGCAACAAATGCTCTAAACTTTTGCTGATTCATCTATGGTATAATTTACCGCTGTCATTTAAATTCATGGTTGTTCCAATTCCCTGCCAGTGCCACTGCCCCAAACCAGACTAAGGTAATATTATTTTAGATTTAAAGACTTAGTTTTGGCGTGGAGTTTATAGATTCATAGATGCTAGGGGTGGAAGGGACCTCAACAATCATCGAGTCCGAACCCCCACCTAGGCAGGAAAGAGTGCTGGGGTCACATGACCCCAGCCAGATGCCTATCCAGCCTTCTCTTAAAGACCCACAAGCTAGGAGAGGGCACCACCTCCCTTGGAAGCCCATTCCAAATTTTGGCCACCCTTACCATGAAGGAGATTTTCCTGAGGTCTAGCCTAAATCTGCTCTCTGTCAGTTTGTGACCATTGTTCCTTGTTACCCCAAGGGGTGCCCTGGTGAATGGAGCCTCTCCGATCCCTTTCTGCATTCCCCTAATGAATTTGTAGGTGGCCACAAGATCACCTCTTAGCCTTCTCTTGTGGAGGCTGAAGAGGTCCAGGTCCCTCAGTCTCTCCTCATAGGGCTTGTCTGGTAAGCCCCTAACCATATGAGTGGCCCTCCTCTGGACCCTCTTGAGTCTATCAACATCCTTCTTGAAGTATGGTGCCCAAAACTGGATGCAGTACTCCAACTGCGATCTGACCAATGCCGCATAGAGGGGAAGTATCACCTCCTTGGTTCTATTTGTCATGCATCTGCTGATGCATGATAAAGTGCGGTTAGCTCTGCTGATGATTTTGTCACACTGACGA